GATTCCGTCCACAAAACATTACACACTCAGAAACTAAGAATTGAGCACTATTACATTTATCTTAGAATAAGTAAAATATATGTCATCCAAATCTCAGTTTTCAAGGTGCAGAAAATAAACAGGTGTCTTCTATTCCGTCCGCAATTTTTGGGGAAAGTAAAATCTAAATTTAGAACCATGGTTGAAACTGAAACTACACATGTATGATAAAAATAGAACGTGTTATTTTTTCTTTATCAAATTCCAATTTCGATGGGATAGCGAAATATGTTTTCTTTTTTTGAGCTTTTGTGTATCATTCAGCAGTAGTATAAGGTAGGGGTGAAGAAAATAAGGTCTACAATGTCGGGGCTTTTTATAACCGACTATACGATATGGATTTTTCTCATTGTTGAAGGCCGTATGGTTGCCTATAATAATTGCTTACATCCACATCATTTAAGGTAGCTGGGGTGTCTAAATGTTGGACGATAAATTTTTCTTAAACTTCTGTAAAAGTCTTCTGGGTCAATGTAATTTCAAATTTCAATATAAAAACTTGGGATCACGGACCTTGTTTTTTCGTAATAACACATTGAAATTCACGAAATTTGGGTTATTTTATATTGTTAATATAGGGGAAACTTAAGTTTTCCTTATTGCGGAAACATTAAACGATAGAATTGGCTAAAATTCGATGAGAAAATAGCTTTTCATTAATAACTCCGAAATATCAAATAAAAATAGGGGGTCACGGGCCTTATTTTCTTGAAAAAATCCCCAAAAATTTTAAATATACTTTACGACACATAATTTTTTGATAGTTCAATCTTTAAATTTCAAGTTTTAGGTATTTTGTTGTATATTGAATGATACTTGGTAAAATATTTTTGAAACAAAAAAGTATTTTTGCAACATGATCAGAACGGACGCTCAGAAAAAGACACCTGATCTACCTTAAACTGTGGCAGATAGTTGTCTCATTTGCAATCATACCACATCTCCTTATTTTCATATTATATTAACAAAACTGCAATTCATTTGCATTATATACAGGGACAAGTTATATCAAAAACTCCGATCTGTTTTACTTTGCTAAAATTCATGTGCGGGTTCTTCTTTTGACCTTATTACAGCCATAAAAATTCTCAAGACAATATGCAGATACAGTTTTCTTATTTTTTGGGAGTCGTGCATGTGGATATTCAACAAATAATGGTACAAGAAATTATTTCCTTTTTTACTTAAAATCTCCAGCAAACATTATATTATGCTTTGTCGTGTAGTTAAAGAAAAGGGAAAGCGATCGAGACAGGAAATTTTTAAAATAAAATTGCAGAGTTGTGTCACGTGCACGTGTGTGAACCTGACAAATAAAATGGGTTTTGTGCGCAATACCTCGAATAGCGCCGGAAATGGTGAGGATGAAAAGATGCAGCAAATTATATACACTTTTTTAAAATAAGATATTTAAAAAGACGTGTATACGCGATCCCAATATTATAACCGATTATTTAAATACGTATAGAATCATTCTGTCAACGCTGTGTTAACCGGGACAATTTCAAACTTGATATTTGATTCATAATTATTAGAACAATACAATATAAAAATAAGAAGATATGGTATGATTGCCAATGAGACAACTCTCCACAAGAGTCCAAATGACACAGAAATTAACAACTATAGGTCACCGTACGGCCTTCAACAATGATCAAAGCCCATAGTCAGCTATAAATTTCAAAAAAGATGTGGAACCCTGTCTAATTAAGAAAAGATGGAGTTAAAGTCTATACAGTAACTTTCTTTCACTTGCAGTATATTTATTTGCCAATTTGCTTTTTTTTTGGCAGCAGAAATATCCTTAAAAAATACTCAGTTTATTTCCTTATCAATTGATTACGCTTGAGCGTTTGCAATAATTAGGAAAATGGGTTATAAATAATTCGTAAATATAAATCAACATGTAGACATCTTATACGTTCAGGTATTTCACATCCAATATTTTATGGTAATATTCTTTAGAAAGCACAAAAATGTCGGCATTCACCTCAAAAGCTAACCAAAACTTTCAACAGACTTATTCGGAAAGGATATAGTTACGATACTGTTGTCAGGTCATTAAGGATTGCATATTTTGGTATTAATATTGATTCACTCATAGGGTCTTTGCATCGGAAATAAACACTATTATTCTAAAACCAGTTGTTGGCATGATACGGGTCATGTTCTTCTCATATATTTTATGATTGTATGATACTAAACCCCTAACGGAAGGGATTGTACTTGATTTTCATATGATGAAGACATAATCTTTCAATCAGTTTAATTGAGGTCTGGAGCTGGCATGTCAATAACTGCTAATAGTCCTTTGTTAATTTATGTATCATTGTCTTTGTGTTTAGTTTCTTTTGTTACCTATTCTGACATCGGACTTGGGCTTCTTTTAAACTGAGTTATACTGTGCGTATTGCTATGTGTTTCTTTATTCTACATTGGCTAGAGGTATAGGGGAGGGTTGAGATCTCATAAAACATGTTTAACCCCGCCGCATTTTTGCGCCTGTCCCAAGTCAGGAGCCTCTGGCCTTTGTTAGTCTTGTATATTTTTTTAATTTTAGTTCATTTATATGTTTTGGAGGTTAGTGTGACGTCCATTTTCACTGAACTAGTACACAATTTTATTTAGGGGCCAGATGAGGACCACCTCCGGGTGCGGGATTTTCTCGCTGCGTTGAAGACCCATTGGTGGCCTTCGGCTGTTGTCTGCTCTTTGGTCGGGTTGTTGTCTCTTTGACATATTCCCCATTTCCATTCTCAATATTATACACACTCACGATTTTGTTTCGACACTGTACGGTATATATAATAGCGTTATAGAGTTATATATCTATAAAAAAAAAAAAAAAAATAGTAGAAATTGTGATGACGTTACAGTAGACATCAATAACGTCGCCGAATGTTTTTTATTCTTTCAGCTAAAAATCAAACTTCCACAGGATTTAGCTTGAAAACTAGCACGGTTGCTAAGGACTTTCTTTGCACCAATGGGTTCGTCGTTCATTTTTGAATCGCATATCGATTTTTAAAAAAATTCTGTGGACCAACGAATTAGAAAATCTTGATAAAGTAAAAATATCTGCCGATTTTTATGATTTTCCCTATATATCCTTTGTATTTTTGGCGTATCATGCTGTTAATTTCAACAGCTTGTATCTGAAAAACGAAAACGGTTACCCCCTTTTTTTATTTTATTGTCTGATGTATTTTAACAAGCAGAATCCACATGTAAAATTAAAAAAAATTCTGTGGAGTAGTTAATTACGTACACTTCGCCTTAAAAAATACTATTCCCATCTATCAGTAAAATACAGAAAAATAAAAAATATGTTTTCAAAATCTTGTATCAGATGCTATCTCTTATTAATACAGAAGCTTCTGTTCCAATTTCATAAAATTCATGAAGGTTTGACAAAGTTATTGATTTCTACCGTAATTGGCCCTGTATAGTTCGCACTGTTACATTAGGTAAATTATTAGTTTTGAAAATCATAAGATCACCCTCTACAATTTCAATAACAAACCTGGCGGAACTTAAAACAAACCTTGCGAAATCAAATTTTTCTCTTATTTCTTGCTTATCATACTCTATAATCTGCACCCCTTGTGGCAGATTCAATTTTGGAGGATAAAACCGTGGACTATACAAGCCTGAATTGGGTAATAAAACTTTAACCCCAGACTATATCTATACATTGTGCATATTCAAAAGGCTTTGTCCTTTCACAATACTAATTTTCTAAAATGTTTTTCCTTATTGAATAAAATTGAGAATGGAAATGGGGAATATGTCAAAGAGACAACAACCCGACCAAAGAGCAGACAACAGCTGAAGGCCACCAATGGGTCTTCAATGCAGCGAGAAAATCCCGCACCCGGAGGTGGTCCTCAGCTGGCCCCTAACTAAAATTGTGTGCTAGTTCAGTGAAAATGGACGTCACACTAAACTCCAAAACATATAAATGAACTAAAATTAAAAAACATACTAGACTAACAAAGTTTGGAAGTTTGGATTCATCTTTTCAAATTGATCAACTGATAAAATATTTTAGCTAATTGATAGTAAAAGGTTACTTTTTGGGTAGCAATAATTGTGCTTTATTCTATTTCTCTGTATGTGTATGTATAAAGTCAAGGTTTAGTATAATTTTGTCACTTTGCCACATTTATTGTTATATCATGTCCATGTAAATCATGAAAAGAAAATAATTAAAAAAAAATACACAAAGTTGAGCAATGGAAGCACATAGGTCTATGGTTCACTGTAGGAGGAGTTATCCGGAAACGCTATGCATCTCTTATGCAAGTATACACTCCAAAAATGACAAAGTTCAATTATCTCCCAAAAGAGCAAATATTAATAAAAATCAAAACCCTGACCACATGCACACTTTCAATATATGTACAAACAGCCAGCAAAGTGAAAACTTCCTAGCATTCAAACTGTAGGAGGAGTTATCCGGAAACGCTATGCACCTCTTATGCAAGTATATACTCTAAAAAATGACAAAGTTCAACTATTTCCCAAAAGAGCAAATATCTTGAATAACTATATACCGCTGATGGGACGGACGGACGGACGGACGGACAGGGGTAAAACAATATGCCCCCCCACTTTTAGTTGCAAGGGCATAAAAAGCCTGCCTATTGTTGCCTCCGAAGACCTAAGAAGCATTCATGGTATAGCATGAAAACACAAACTTAGATACCTAATTTCAAGACTGTCTCATTTGTATTTTCATGACAAATAAAATAAAAATTTCATAGGACAGACAAAAGGTTACACACAGACAGATGGAGTGAATACACATAGACAGATGGAGTGAATACACATAGACAGATGGACTGAATACACATAGACAGATGGACTGAATACACATAGACAGATGGACTGAAGTAAAGCAGAATAGCCTCTCCTTTGGAACATGGGGTACAATAACAATGCCATGACTTATGGATAACTTACTTGTTCACAAGATTCTGTAGTTTTTGTACAGGCTCTGGTTCACCAGCTTTTCTAGGTAATACTTCCTTGCAGCCATCAACATTAATGTTAAGAGCAGTATCCTGTGATACTTGGTAATGATGTTCATTGTCCTCTGGTTGGCCAGCTTTTCTTGATAATTCTTCATTACAGTCATCAACTTCAAAATTTACAGCAGCATCTTGTGATACTTGGTAAAGATGGTCATTCTGCTCTGGTTGCTGTTTGGTGTTCTGGAAAAAAAACCAATGCTTATGCTACAACATTACAGTAAGAAATGATTGTTCAATGACATCATTTACACTGATTGACCTTGGGTCAACTAGAGAAACCCATTCATAAAAAACAACTTAAGATTAATCTATATATCTTATTACTATTAGGATTTTTTGACACTTGATTTGAGATTTTGTGATATTTGACTTTTTGACTTCATATAACAATCCCTTTTACACTGTGGTGTCATACTTTTTCTCTTGTCAAAATTTACACCAATGTCTGTGATATTCAGTAAAGGCTGTAATAAACTAGATGCTCTAAAGAGCCTGTGTCGCTTACCTGGATCTATGCACATTTCCAACATTGGAGACTTGGATATAATTAAAAAATCTCATTTCGTTGATCTTGTATTGCTGACCATTTTTACTGGTTCCAGTTTCTCTATATCTAGTTTTTGTCCAGAATACAAACAAATGGTTAAAATTGTCATTCAAGGACAATAACTTCCATAAGAAGTGCATTGACCATTTCTCCTTTGTTGTTTGTCTTGTCTATCTGATCCTTTTTGGCTGTTTACAGTTTCTCTTTATCTTCTATATTTTGGTTTTGAAAAAAAAAAGATTGCCCCCCTCTTGCATTATCGAAAGTGCCAGGAGTAAAACCAAGCTTTTGCACTACTCTAGCCAACATTTTTAAAGTAACTGGTAACAAAAACATATTGTATATAGATCTATCTATTGTTATAGATTGTATCATGTGTATAAATGTTACCCTCTAGATGTTTTTTTGGTTATTTTTGTTGTTTAGTTTTTGTTTTGTGGGTGTATACCACAAATTTCCTTTATTCATAGTGATATTACATCGTGATTGAGGCTAAATGATTAGGAAATTTTTTTTTTTACATTAATTATGCTTCTATTGTAACAGTGGTTTGATTCCGCCAGTGTACTTTATCCGGAGGAAGAAAATCCCCAGTGATTTTTATCCACCAACAAAAATTCACTAGGTTTTTCTATCCGGGTCCAGTGTAAAACATCCACCAGTCATTATAAGGTTCTAAAAAGGTTTTTTTGAAGGGGAAACATGTATAAAATGTGGCTTTATAGTTTTTAGTGTATTTGAAACTTGCATAGTTAATTTATGTAAAAAGTGGAGAGTTTTCATCCAAGGAATGTTCACACTAGTGTTTTTAAATAAGGAATGATTACACTAGTGATTTTGTACCAGAATGATTGCACTAGTTATTTTATACTGGGATTAATTACACTAGTGCTTTAGATCCATACCTTGATTCATGAAGTGATTAGTACTCATTTTGAACACACGATAACACTATAATGCTTATTAACAAATAAGATTTAAATAATTTTTCTATGCAAATCTATAAAATCATATGCTTTTAAATTGTCACTAATTGTAATATTTATATTTATTGAAGTTTTTCTGTGTTTTTGCTTTTCGGTCGACTTGGATATAAAATCATATCTTCTATGTCAATTTCAAAGGATGCTTCTATAATTGAAACTTTATGTAAGAACAACTCTTTAAATTTGGTTTATATCAAGTTCAATGTCCTGGTCATTGATAAGTATTTTGAGTTATAAAAACATCCTCATCGTTATCATCAATATTATTTACTAGATTGACTCAGATTAATTAAACTGGTTCCTTGAAAAAGATTGACTCAGATTAATTAAACTGGTTCCTTGAAAATCATTTTAATTTTAACCTATTTATTTATGTAAACAATAAACCGGTCTAATATAAACAAAACAACGATATCAAGTTCGACGCTTTCACACTATTTACATCCAATATTCTCTAGTGAAAAACAGTTACCCGGAATAAATACACGGCGGAATGAAAGTAGGCTTACACTATCGCTTATGATTCAGTTTTGCTAATACTGAATTTTTGCAAAAAAAAAGTAAATTCAATGAACACCCTGAACTTTGAGCAAAACATGTATGTGTCTGGTAGAGATCCCTCTCATTGGCAATCTTCTTGTTTTTATATGTGTATGTTTACTTACCTTAATCACTGACTTTACAGATTCACTGCTTCTTTTGGTTAAACAGCAACAATGAAAATAAAAAGGTAGAAAAGATCACTGCAACTAGCATACAAATATAGATAGTTAAGCTTGAATTTATATTGATTTTACCATGGGTTGGCCTTTTATTTCAAATATTTTACCATGAGTGATAGTGATCAGATCAAAGCTCTCTGGACCAAGACAAATATTTGCGGTTCCCATAATTGAACACACTACAAATATTGTTTGTAAAAAGCATAGAAAACTGAATAAGTGACATACTTAAATGATTTTCAATTACAGGAACTAAATATATTTAATCAAACAGATTTTTACTTAAGAAATCATGCTCTCAATAATGACGACTTCAGTATGTATACTAAAGAAATTTATCCTGTTGAACTTACTTTAAATAAAGCTAATACTAACAATGACCACTGCCCTTTCCTCGATCTTGATATCTATATCATTAATGGAAAGCTTAATACTAAAATATATGATAAAAGAGATGATTTTTCATTTCCTATCGTTAATTATCCATTTTCAGATGGTGACGTTCCCTTGTCACCATCTTACGGTGTTTATATATCTCAACTTGTACGATTCGCTTGTGTATGTAACAATGTTTTAGATTATAACGAGAGAAATTTATGTATTACTGAAAAGTTATTACACCAGGGTTTTCGATATCACAAACTAGTCAAAACATTTACTAAATTTTATCATCGGTATAAGGACATCATTCGTAAATATAGCTCAACATGCAGACTTCTTATACGTTCAGGTATTTCACATCCAATTTTTTATGGAAATATTCTTTATAAAGCACAAAAATGTCAGTATTCACCTCTGAAGCTAACAAAACCTTTAAATAGACTTATTAAGAAAGGATATAGTTATGATACTGTTGTCAGGTCATTAAAGATTGCATATTTTGGCGTTAATATTGATTCACTAATAGGGTCTTTGCATCGCCACTTAACACATTTATTTAAAAACCAGTTGTTGGCATGACACGGGTTATGTTCTTCTCATATATGTTATGATGGTATGATACTAAACCCCTAACGGGAAGGATTGTGCCTGATATTCATATGATGAAGACATAATCTTTCAATCAGTTTAATTGAAGTCTGGAGCTGGCATGTCAGTTAACTGCTAGTAGTCTGTTGTTATTTATATATTATTGTCATTTTGTTTATTTTCTTTGGTTACATCTTCTGACATCAGACTCGGACTTCTCTTGAACTGAATTTTAATGTGCGTATTGTTATGCGTTTACTTTTCTACATTGGCTAGAGGTATAGGGGGAGGGTTGAGATCTCATAAACATGTTTAACCCCGCTGCATTTTTGCGCCTGTCCCAAGTCAGGAGCCTCTAGCCTTTGTTAGTCTTGTATTATTTTTAATTTTAGTTTCTTGTGTACAATTTGGAGTTTAGTATGGCGTTCATTATCACTGAACTAGTACCGGTATACATATTTGTTTAGGGGCAAGCTGAAGGACGCCTCCAGGTGCCTGAATTTCTCGCTGCATTGAAGACCTGTTGGTGACCTTCTGCTGTTGTCTGTTCTATGGTCGGGTTATTGTCTCTTTGACACATTCCCCATTTCCATTCTCAATTTTATTTCAACAAATTTGTATCATAAAGTCTGTTTATATGTTTCCATGTTTAGTTATAAATGCCTATAACATCGCAGTAAATTGAAACAGACAAAAGAACACATGATGTGCTGATCAGCTGACATACAATATATACTAATTTTATGGACCCAAACCGTTTGAAGGACTTCATATTATGTTACCCATCTAATCTTCTATGTGGTGCTCTAAGTTTGTCGAATTCCTTCTCATTAACTGTCCATACTCCTTCATTCTTTTCATTTGTTACTCGGACAAAACATTTATTAAAACTCAGAACTTGTCTGGCATTGTTCTACAAGCAAAAATAACAAAAAATGTAATATCTTTTAGGAAAACCAGCTTTTAATTAATTGATTAGCGTTTAAACACCACTTTCAGCACTATTGGCTATTTTGTGGTGGTCAATTTTTATTGGTGGAGGAAGCTGGAGTGCCAAGAGAGAACTACAGACCTTCGTCAGAAACACTGAAAACCCTAGTCAATTAAGGTTGGAGTCAAATGCACCTGCCAGGTGCAGTGTTCGAACTCACAACCTCACTTTTTCATTAAGAGTTAAATAATAAATACACTAGTTGCCATTAGACACTTGTATCAGATACTTCGGGTGCCACATGTGGAGCATGATCTGCTTACCCTTCCGGAGCACCTGAGATCATCTCCAGTTTTTGGTGGGGTTCGTGTTGCTGTTGTACCCCTGTTTGTGCCATTTTTACCTATTGTGTCTGTTTGTTTTGTTCACACATCGTTGTCAATATAATGGAATTTGATGCAACTGTCATACAAGTGAGAGGTTTAGCTAGCTTTAAAACCAGGTTTAATCCACCATTTTCTACATAAGAAAATGCCTGTACCAAGTCAGGAATATGACAGTTGTTATCCATTCGTTTGATGTGTTTGAACTTTTGATTTTGCCATTTGATTGGGGACTTTCATTTTTGAATTTTCCTCGGAGTTCAGTATTTTTGTGATTTTACTTTTTGTATTCTAACATGGCAGTCAGTTTTGATGTCAAAAGTAAGAAAAATAAACTGAGAGTGATCACAACATTCTTATTAAACCTCTTTAAAAAGATGAGACACAAAAAGTGATGTGTGAGTGTGTGTGAATGTAAATTTCTTAATATTCTTTAAATGTTGATCAATCACGTTAACCTATAAACATATTTATTCTTTTAATAAATCAGTTATGAAAAACCTTACTGAATATTTGTTGATTTATTCATATGTTGCTAACCTTTATGTCATTTCGTCTCAGGAGAAAATTGTCTCATTGGCAATAATACCACATCTTCTTATCTTTATATAAAACAATTTGAACTAAAAAAAATCTCTATTTTCAAATCTAAAAAATATCATCATTTGAATTTCAAATTTAATAGAGAATGACTATTTATATTTAGATTTATAGAATCTCAATTTCCATATTTAATAATCTAAAACAACGGCCAATTATTAAACTAAAACAACTGCCAATTATTAAACTGATAGGATCCTGATTTCAAAATTTAAATGAGAATCAATATCTATACTAAATATAATTAAATTGATAGAATCTTGATTTCAAATCTAACAGAGAACTGGTATTGATAATAAGACAGATAGAAAGAGAGCCTTATGACATACTAACCTTCATTGTGGTTATATCATCAATCTGTTTATATGAATATGCATTGTGTAACCATCGATAGATTTCACTTAATGTTAAGTTATGGTTAGGAGATTCTACAATAGCCTGAAACAGAAAAATTGTTTGTTACCTCCCTTTAATAAATTTCAATATTTTTTATGCTTTAGACACACATAATTGATTTTGGATAATATTTGTCAAATATTCCAATCTCAAGTTGTTTTTTATGAATGAGCAACACCAGTTGACCCCAGGTCAATCGGCTTAAACAACATCATTGAACATTCAGTTCTTTTTTTTTTTAACAACATAATTAAATATTTATTTCAATTATTGGCTTGTTACAATATCCTTCAGGAGTCCAAGCTCCTCCTGATGTTCCCTGTTACATTTCACTAATCACTCAGGGCAGTAATTAGTTGTAAAATTTATATTACATCAAATATATATTAAATAATATCACTCATAATGATTATTCATATGTTTTCTAATGGTTGCTAAAACATTACTTTTAATTGTCATTGTCAAACATACTCTTCTATTGAACTCATTAAGAAAAATTGAGAAAACATTGACATTTTTTGTCTTTTGATCAGATATGTAATAGGGGTTCATTCAACCTATGCCAACATTTTGAAATTTAGGTATAAAATTGTATGAAAAAGTGTTGGCATAGGTTGAATAAAATATAACAGATTAAGTGTTATAAAAACAAAAAATAATTAGGGGCCAATCAATTTACAACCAGTTTAAAATTGGCGTTTAAGTGTACCCACAACTATTTTTGTTACTTGTAATAGTAAAAATGAAGGCAACTCTGTGTGTTGCTGATCTCTTTTGTATTAGGAATTAACATAATAAAACAATTGATGATTGAAGATTGCTTAAAGTCCAGTGGCAAATATTTCATGCATGTTCAGGATATACCAGTATCATGTGAATATCATACAATATATGATGAAAATATTTGATGATATTTTTCTAAAAGTAGAATTACGTCAAATGCATGGAAATAATGAATATAGCACTATTTAAAATGCTTCACATTGAAAAGTGTATTTTTTCACAGTTCAGTATTTATGAAATAATGGTGTTTTTGTATATATGTGTGTTACTTCTTATTACAATAGTGCTTTATTCTGCATTTCCATTCATGTATTCTAATATACAAAAACACATATTACGTAAATACTGACATCAGAATTAAATACAATTTTACAATGTTCACTTTTACATCATACCAGAGACATATATATACATATTATATAAAAATATATCTGATAATACTGTAAGACACCTGAGACCACCCCCGGTTTATGGTGGGTTTTGCATTGCTCAGTCTTTCGTTTTCTATGTTGTGTTTTGTATACTGTTGTTTGTCTTTTGGTCTTTTTCTTTTTTTGCCATGGCGTTGTCAGTTTATTTTCGACTAATGAGTTCGAATGTCACTTTGGTATCTTTCGCCTCTCTTTTTGAATAGTCTGATAAACGGATATAGTATTCGTTACGAATATCATATATTCTAGAAAGATATTTTCTAGAAAGGACATATCTGGTCTTTCCATATCTGAAAATTTCAGAAGCAGTCTGACATATTACCGTTTATACATATTATGTACATTAATATAATTATGCCGCTATTCATATGTGCTCAGCAAATTGTAATTCTCTGTGTATATATTTCTATTCTTTTATAAAATATTGTAAGATTCAATGGGGAATTATGTTTCTAAGAAATAGAAATCATACTGAATTAAAAGAGCTCTGTGAAAACTAGTTAAAGCCCATTTTTCATATATGATAACCAAAATTAATAAAGCACTTTTTCAAAATAAAATTTAAATTTAGATATAGAACATGAATCAGATTTAATACATTTTTAGCTTGGATAGTCAGCAACAAGTCATAAGTGAGCAAATCTTGTATATTAAAAAAATCCCAAATAAAATATTTTTTTACTTTAATTCTTTTTAATTTTTATAATTTTTTATTTATTCAATTATTTTTGTTTGTTTTGTTTAAGTTTTATATTAAGAACAAAACAATTTTGGAAGTATTTTACCATACAAGAATATTTTTACTACAACATAATTTTGCATTTATTTAACTGTTGTTTTTTTATTCTAAAGGAGTAATTTTTAATGCTTTAAAATACTGACTGTATTTTACCTGTAATTAGTTATTAATAGTTATAACAACACCCATTGTATTTTGTTTGTAGGCATAGGTTGAATATATATTTTTCAAATGTTGGCATAGGTTGAAGACACCGTAATAGGCTTTGTAAATTGAAAAACCAACAATTGTTAAAAAATAGTTAAAGTCAAAAAATATTCTTCGTCTGAAGTTTTATATCCAAATACCAAATGTCTTAATTTTATCTTAAAAGTTATTTTACTCTTCTTTAAAACTTCATTTATTTTATTCCAAAAATGTTCTAAATACGGACACAGTATAAAGAAGTGATCATAATCTTCTTCTTGTGTACAAAAGTTACAAAAACTATTGTTTACAATTTTCCACCTGAATAATTTTCTTTGTAGGTAGAATATGTTGTAGTAATTTCCATCTAAAAATTTTAAGTTTATTTTCTTTTAAATATCTGAATAAAAATTTATATAAATTGTTTCGATATAACACATCATCTATATCAAGTATACGCAGCCATTTTTTGGGTCCATTAGCTGGTTCAAATTTTTTATTTATCAGAGATTTATATAAAAGTTTGTTTGATAATGATTCTAATTTTATAGGTAAACCTTTCCATATAAATTGGTTTCTTTTTATATTTACAGTACTTTTTACAGAATTTTCCGACTTTAAAATTGCTACCCAGTCTTTTGGTATTGATTTCTTTACCAAATTAATTTCAGCTATCCAGTTTGATTTATTTTTTAGTTTATTAAAAATGATGTCTTGAGAAATGCAGCCTTTTTCATCTATGATATCATTTACATAAATAAGATCGCTTTTAATCCAATTTTTTTAAACTATAGCTTTATTTTCAAATTTAATAAATTTATTGTTCCATAATATTTGTTTTCTTATATCTGTAAATGTTTCAGGTTTTTTCATTAGACCTCCTCCAGTTAATTTCATTATAACATTTAAGGTTATTTTTATAAAAATCTGGGATATTTTCAAGGCTTTCGTCTGGCTTATCCCCACTGTTTCTTTGAAACACTAACCAGTTTGACCCAAAATTAAAAAATATCGCTGAGGTATAATTTTCCAACCTCCTTCACAATCAGTTACTAGTCTTTTAACCCACATAGCTTTTAAAGCAGTGAAATAACTTCTTATATCTATCATATCTAATCCCCCCTTTTCATATGGACCATTGATTGAATTTCTTTTTACTTTATCTGGTTTATTATCCCAAACAAATTTAAAACAACTTTTTTCTATTTTTTTCAAATATTTCTCTGGAACTATACAGGCAGTTCCCACAAAAGTGAAAATAGGCACAATTAGTGTTTTAATAATCAAAATTAGTAAGATTTCTTTTCTGCCTACAACAAAATAATTTATTCATCTTTTCAATTTTATTTTCCCAATTTAGTTTTTCACATTCCTCTCTACAATGCCCAAAGTATATGCCAAGAGTTTTGACTGGTCCATTGCTCCAGTTGATTCCCTCAATTTTGTCTTTACATGATTTAAGCTTTCCTACCCATAACCCCTCTGTTTTATTTCTGTTTAATTTCAATCCTGAATAAGAACCAAATATTTCAATTTCGTTCATAGCTAACTGAACGTCATATTTAGAACAACAAAATAAAGTACAAATGTAGTATCGTCTGCTAGTTGCGAAATTTTTATGCTATGATTTTTGCAATCCAATTTGATTTTGATACCTTTAAATTGGTATTGCTTCTTAATCTTGACTCCATGATTTCCACCGATAAAACAAATAATAATGCCAATAAAGGACATCCTTGGCGTATACCCCTGGTGTTTTTAAGGACATCAGATATCCAACCATTATTCATAACACATGTTTGAATATCGCTATATAAAGTCTTAACCCATCTTATAAAAGAATCATTAAATCCAAAATGTTTTAAAACTGAAAACATAAAATTCCATTCTAAAGAGTCAAACACTTTAGAAAAATCAACAAAGACTATAGCCCCTTCAATTTTGTATAAATCAGTGAAATCAATAATATCTTGTATCTGTCTAAGATTAAAACTAATAAATCTATTCTTTACATATCCAGTCTGGTCTTCTTTAATAATTTTTGGTAGGATCTTTTTCAATCGTTGTGCTAGAGCGTACGATAGAAGCTTCATGTCAATATTTAAAAGGGAAATAGGACGGTAATTATTTAGTGACAATGGATCACCTTTTTTAAATAATAGCGTTAATACACTTGTACGCTGTGAATATGTAAGTGTTTGATCTTTATATCCAATATTAAGAATGTTTACTACTATGTACTTTAATTTATCCCAAAATTTTCTATAAAATTCAACTGTTAATCCGTCTAATCCAGGAGATTTATTAAGTTTCATTTTATAAATAGCATCTGAGCATTCTTCTACTGTAATATCCCCATCGCAGACTGATTTATCATTTTCATCCATTTCTTTCTCTTGTTTTGTCTCAAATATATATTTATCACTTGATGTTTTATCAGGGCTTTGCGTCGAGTATAACTTTTTATAGTACTCTTTAATACTACATAGTATATCACTTTGATCCGTTAAAATCTCATCATTTTCTCCTTTTAATTTATTGATTGACTTTTTTACCTGTCTCTGTTTTTCTAAACCTAAAAAGTATGAGTTATTTTTTTCCCCAAATTCAACCCATTTCTCTCGTGATCTAATTTGAGCCCTTTTAGCCTTTTGTTCGTAAATTTTGGTATTTTTATTTTCAAGTTCTTCAATATCTTTATCTAAAATGTTATTCTCAGATTCTTGCTCATCTCTAATTTTCAATTTTATTTCTAATTTTTTTTCAAGAGTTCGTAAGTTTTCTCTTGTAAATTTTGCTTTAGTTTTACAATAAGCTATAGTTGCCTCCCTTACCTTTATTTTAAATATATCCCATGCTAAACCAAGGTTTTTTAAATTACGATTATTCATAAAGCAGCTATCCATTTCTTTATTAACTAATTGTATGTAGTCATTATCTTCTAATATAGAATTATTTATTTTCCAGTACCCCTTTCCCCTTTCTGATGCACCAGTTCTAAATTTCATAAAAACACTTTGATGATCCATAGAACCAATAACTGCAGGTTTAATTTTGCAACATTCTACTAGTGGTATGAAGTCTGAGCCTATCAGAATCATATCAATCCTACTTGCCTGTGATTTATCTTTTCTTCGCCACGTATATTGTTGTTTATTTTTATTTGAATATCTCCAAATGTCTGTTAAGTTATTTATCTTTATTAAAGATTTTAAACTATTTACTGATTGGATATTTTTTACCTCTGAACGAGTAGTTTTTCTGTCTGTCGCTTTCATCGTATCATTGAAATCTCCACCCATTATTGTAATTCCTATCCCTTGTTCTTTTAATATATTATTTACTTTTTTGAAAAATATATTTCTATTTCTTTTGCAATTAGGTGCATATATACACATTAGTGTAAAAACGCTTTCATCAATTTCTACATTAAGAAGAACTAATCGTCCATCTACATCGTTATGTTTATTTATCAACTTATAATTCAGTGACTTTTTAATGAGAATAGCCACACCCCTACTAGAGGCCTTTCCGTGACTGCAAAATATATCAAACTCTGAATTATTTCTTATTTCTGTTTCTATGTTTTCATCAAAATGAGTTTCTTGTAAAAAACAAACAGAACAGTTTTGAGATTGAATCCATTCAATTACTCTGTCTCTTTTAGCTTTATTTTTAGTACCATTCACATTTAAACTACTTAAGTTTATCAAAAATTTAGATGCCATTTCAAAGTATGATTTCATATTTTTGTAATAGCTCCTCACATAACTGTACATGCCTACAAACAGTACAGTTAAAACACATTTATATAACAATCATACAGAAATCGACAATATACATCACTCTATTTCTACTAACATAAAAAGTACAATTCATCAGGTTACATATAATTACAGGTAACAAATAAAACACCCTACCTGTGAATACGGCATTTAATTTACTGGCCTGATTTGACCTTGTTATGTTAAAATCGATAGACAATAAAATTGACACTGAAATATTCAACAGCCACCACGTGTGATTCGTTACAGTCTTACAATGTGTATTCGGATGGATATATGTTTCTGATATACGTGTCTTATTCACATAATTTTATCTAAATAAGTGAAATGGATAATGTAAACACATTTAAAATAATAATAAATGTAAACTTCACCGTTTTTCAAGGCTTCTATAGCTGTTTTGTTGGCTATGTTTACTAAAGAAGTAACTTCTTTGGAAGAATTAGATATTTGAGATGTATTTAGTAGGAAGTGTAGAGGAATTCAGTTCTTACTGTAACGTAATAACATAAGCATTGAGACAAATTTACATGAAAGTGCATGTGAACTTTACAAAAAAGAAATTGGTATTTTTCATTTTTTTAAATAAATTTGAAAATTTAGATGTTATTTGAATTACTTTATTTTAAAAATTAACGTGAATTTCATGTGAAAAAAATTCATGTGATTTTCACGTGTGTTTCACATGAGATTCACTTGAAAGTTGAAACTCGCTTGAATTGATTTAACGCGAGTTTCAAGTATAAGCTCGTTTGAGGTGAAATTCACATGAATTTCACGTGAGATTTACATGAATTTAAATTCAAGTGAAATTGATGTGAGTGAAATTTGCCTGTATAAATTTCTAGTCTGTGACATTGAATATTTTAATTTACATCAACAGTAAACAGTGGAGCTCACAAACACAGCATTCATTTATTTAGGCAAAATTCTATCCCAAGAAATTAAATGTGTCTAAAGAATCTCAAAATTGTGAAAAAGTCATTGTACAGATTTTGTTATAAGTTTCTCTTCATTAATATAGTGTTATTAGATGAACCAGACTTCAGTAATGGGTAACTTATCCAGAAAATTAAGACACCAAATTATCATTTACCCTTTCGGCAAAATCATACTTAGGGCTATTCCATTAAAATGTATGTGGGAGGGTAGGAAGGGAAGTTTAATTATTGAATGTGGGTCATGGGTCTTTTTTCAGTATGCGTCTATAACCATTATGCAAAATTATCTAAAAAATGGTTCTTGGTTGTAGTGATATTTTGAAAGTCCCTTCCTACCCTCCCACATACATTTTAATGGAATAGCCCTTAGAAGGCTGAAAGTGATAATTGCGGTTTAGCAATTCAGTTTAAATTAACTGTCAAAAAGTAGCTTCAATTCTGAAACAGATTTATAAGATGTTAAATATTATCATTATTTTTTAGGGGTTTTTTTTCAAGACTTTTTGATTGGTGCCAGATCTTGATAGTTTCTGCTTAATCTATATACAACTTTTATAGATTACAGAAGATTTGGAGCATGACATTTTATATGAACAATTGTGAATTGTTGAACACAGTATGTTGAAGTTTTTATGTTATTTTTGTCGCTGGGTTGATGTCTCACTGACATATACTTGACACACCTTATATTCACTTTATTCAAACAGAAATCCAAAATTAAAATTTTTACAGAAAGGAGTTTAATGCTAACTTCTCATCTAAAAAAAAAGATTCTGCAAATTATAATAAATCTCTTAATACACAACAGAAGGAGATGATTTCTTGCTTATCTGTATCTTGATGTAAAATTGAGAAATGTTATTTTGCAGTTATCAGATTTTTTGTGACAGGTGATTTGCACTTTTATTTCAAAGTAAACCTTCTGTTGTAAAATTTCTAACAGCTATAACAGTAATCTGTAGATTTTGTTTGCTGTAACTAGTGGGGCAGAAACAAATGACCTTTCTAAAACGCCTAAATACAAGCAGAGATAACCATTAAATATACATGTAGGATTTTGTCTGAGAGGTGGTAGCAGCACAGCTAATCTTACCATTGGGCAAAAAAGGGTGGGGTTAGGGGGGGGGGTTAAGAGTTATGATTGGATTAATGGGGTATTTATTTTAAATATATTATTAATCAAAATAAAATTAACTCTGCCGTTTGCATCATAGGGGAGTATTGATCAATAATTATCTTTACATGCCAGACTGGTGTTGGATTGCCGCTGTGCTCGTCTGCCCTCGGACGACAGTCCTTATTTGGTCAAGAGACTGGCATTACCAATGGGAAGGGGGCTTCCAGTGATGACCAGTCACATGACTAATTAGCTGATTGGTTTGTGATTGTAGTGCGCTCACTTCAATTAGAAAATTTAGCGTGGTAATGCCAGTCTCTTGACCAAATAAGGACTGTCGTCCGAGGGCAGACGAGCACAGCGGCAATCCAACACCAGTCTGGCATGTAAAGATAATTATTGATCAATACTCCCCTATGATGCAAACGGCAGAGTTAATTTTATTTTGATTAATAATATATTTAAAATAAATACCCCCTGTAGATTTTGTTTGCTGTAACTAGTGGGGCAGAAACAAATGACCTTTCTAAAAAGCCTAGACTTGCTACAATTCCCTTTCTTTAATTTCTTTCTTACTAATTTATATGTTTACTGAAAACTGACAGAGAACTCCTCTGCAGATGTCAGTATAATGGAAATCTCTTAGTTATAGCAGTAAAATTGTTACAGGGGCAAAATTGAAAAAAATAAATTAGAAAGGGACATGAACAAGTCTATAGAACATCTGGAATCACTTCTGTTTTTTCCAGGGGTGTATTGCTTAATCTTTAGTTTTCAATGATGTGTTGAGTGGATTGATGTTTGTCTTTTTATCATTTTTCTTTCAGCAATAATATTGTCTGTTTTTGTTCATTTTTAATTGCCCTTTTCATATTTACTGCCCCTTTTTTAAATAGTACCTTGAAAAACCATCAATATTATTGTAAACAATGATTGTAATTTTATTTTTATTTGTGTTCAGTGTTCATCGGTAATATTACCTGTGGTATCTATTAATTGATTGTTGGTGCTTAACCTCACTTTCAGCACTATTGGCTATTTCATGGTGGTCAGTTTTTATTGGTGGAGGAAGCGGGAGTGCCCAGAGAGAACCAGTGACCTTTTGCAAATAAACTGACAATCCTAGTCAATTAAGATTAGAGTCAAATGCACCTGCCATGTGCGGGGTTCCAACTCACAACCTCAGTCTTGACAGGCTAGTGATACAGTAGTTGGACTACTTACCTGTCGTATCAAAGAGGCATATGTAAATGGCCGAGGGGGTCTCCTTATGTAAACTTTTCTTGGTTTCATTACTGAAAAAAGGAAAAAAATTGTTGATATCAAAACTTACAGGTGTTTATGTATAATGTAATGCTTTTCAAATTTATGTTGTATAAAAATTCATTAAGTTTGGGTAATTTCTTTTCTTATCATTGCCCCTAATAAACTCTTATAAAATTGAGAATGGAAATTGGGAATGCGTCAAAGAGACAACAACCCGACCAAAGAGCAGAAAACAGCCCAAGGCCACCAATGGGTCTTCAACAAAGCGAGAAAATACCGCACACAGAGGCGGGCTTCAGCTGGCCCCTAAACAAAAATGCATTCCTATCAAGTCATTAAAACTTGATGTCTTTCATCCTGCAGATTCTTATATTTTGGCATTGCATTGCATAAGATCATGTTTTTCTCAGACTGCTTATGACATCTTTTAACTGAATTTGTGAGGAGGATTCCACACTTGCAAACATGTTTACCCAAGCAACATTCTGTATGTGCCTGTCCCAATCCAGGAGCCTGTTGTCATAAGTTGCCATCTGTCATAATTGTTTCATTCAGGCTGTTAGATTATTTCTCATTTCTAATTGACTTCATAATGGTTTATCAGAAGATTTTTTTAATTTTGATTAAGATCTATATTTTCACTATTTTTCTAGTCTTGAAATTAAGGGATGACCATATTTCAATACCATATTTACCCCAGTCAATACTTGGGATTAAGTAACATAGGTAATAAAAGGACTCCAAAATATAAATGGGTAATTATAGTATATAACATGATACTACTGTTATGTGTTACAGTACCTTGTGTTTATTTACCAGATGCATAGTACCTGCCAACTTTCATGATTTTGGCATGAACTACACAACTTTGACCCCTTGTCAGGATTGCACGATCGTGATTGTGAAAAAAGTCCTTTAACAAAATTTTTTAAAAACCTACAGGAAAAATTTGTTCATTCCCGGTTTTTAACTTTTCCCAAGGGAGACAATTAAGATCAGCAACAAATAGCAAATCACATTTGGATTTTTTCTGTGATTACGTTTTCATCTCCTGATTAATTGGTGTACGTATTTTAAAAAACCACAGAATGAAACTCGTTTGGAAGTTTTGAGTTGTATTCCTTTGTCTGTTTGTCAAAATTGTCAAAATTATGATAATGGTTGTTGAATTATAATTTGCAAGAAAGTTCTTAAGTCGCCTACATAGTAAAGCGTTGATCAATTGAGAGGCTGGTTGACAAATTTTACAATAGGGATAACACATGCCTTGTAAAGCAGGCAAGGACTGTTCAACTTCATCAGAAGTTCTTCACAGCTCAGAACACTACCAAGTCTGTCGGTAACTTCTTTGTACAACCAAATAATGAGCAACTCAAGACGGTCAAGCAAGCATATTCAGTAACACAAAAGAACTATTCATAAGACGTTTTCATATCTTTGAGTTAATAAAATCAGATTATTGAAATATGAACCAAGTTTAATACAAGTCAATGAAGTGTGTTTTCTTTGATAAAATTTGAGCTGAAGAGAGCAGTGCTACCATAAACATAATAAATAGTAGCTTATTTGGACATTACACTTATTGTAACTGGTCCATACATAGTCATAATTATTGTTATCAAATTTTCAAATTATTAAAAATCTTGTCCTTTATTTTTCACGAGGAAATTCAGATAAATGTCCTTTGTCCATATTTATATATGGAAAAGTCAGTTATAACTAGACAAGAAAAGATTTTGATGGTAATTAATCTAACTTAATGTACTATCTTTTGTACACATTAGGATGAGTACAAGAATCATCATCAGTATACCATATGAAAAAAGAAGAAAAGGGCTTATTAGCTCATCATCAGTATACCATATGAAAAAAGAAGAAAAAGGCTTATTAGCTCATCATCAGTATTCCATATGAAAAAAGAAGAAAAATTACACATTTCTAGAGTAAAACACAGACATACAAAAACGACACAAAAATTGTAACCCTTAAAAATGTTGTTGCACACAAAAACCCCCATGGCGATTTTCAAAAGCTGGCTGGTATGCAGATGACATTGCCACTGTACCTGCAATATTTGTTCCTCATTGACTGAAGAGTAGAGTTCTGGCGTCTGTTGTACTTCTTCTTCCTTTCCAGGTGATTCCATTAACTTACAAAAAGAAAAATACAACAAATATAAATATTGAGCTCACAATGCTGGAAATACAGAGTGTAATAGCTTTATATGTAACATAGCTGTTCCATAGGATGCTTATGATAGCTAACTTGAAATTAATGTCAAAACATCTTTTGTATGACCTAATGATAATTTGTGCATATCTGCAGAGTCTCCAAAAATCATCTTAAATCCTGATTTAAATTATAGTTTTCATTTTTGGTATGTTATGAATCAAATTATTTTACTTTCAGAAAACACACTATATTTCCATTTTAAGATATTTAGTATGTCCTTGATGATAAAAATTATCTGATTTGAGAAACACAAGTCAAGCATGAATGACCTTCAAAGTGTAACATGATTACCGCTAATTCCTTGTTTTTGTGATCTAGATACTGAAAAAGTCATGTGCGAATCAATTCTAAGCATATTCCCTGCAAGTTTCTTATCATATTATCTAGGTGATGATGAGTTATCCAGGTCATGTGACCTGTCATGCGATATAGATGATGAGTTATTCAGGTCATGTGATCTAGATGATGAGTGATCCAGGTCATGAGATCTGTCATGTGATCTAGACGATAAGTCTTCCAGAACATGAGAACTGTCATGTGATTGAGCTGATGAGTCATTAATGTGAATGCACTTACCACTGATTTCTTGTCATTTAATCTTGACGATGATGAGTCATCCAGTTCATGTGATCTGTCATGTGATCGAGCTGATGACTTATTCATGTGATCATCAAGTCTAATTATTGTAACTTACCTCTGATGTATTGTCATTTGATCTAGATGACTCCAAGTTATCCAAGTCAAGTGATCTGGATGGTGATGAGTTTTCCAAATCATGTGATCTGTCATGTGATCTAGACAATAAGTTGTCCATGTGAGTATCCAGTCTTGAAACGTTCCCTTCTGGTTTCTTGTCATATAATCTGGACGATGATCTGAGTTGTCAAGGTCACATGATCGAGATATTGAGTTGTCCACATTTACCATTGGTTTTTTGTCATGTGATCTAGAGGATGTACTATTCTTTTGAGTATCAATGCTGTTGTCATCACAGTTTGAATTTGAACTTACAAATTGATCTGAAACAGAATTCTGTAGAAATACAAAATTGTCATAAAAATATGCCAACATTTGCCATAAATTGTAATTGGAGAAAATATGCCTGCTAAAGTCCTGACTTGGTACAGGCATCTTACATTAAAAAAAACATGTGTGTTGAACTGTGTTTTATGATCAGCAAAAACTTCAATTTGTAAGACCAATCTGTTTTGTCCCAATCTACCGATGCATCTTAGGCGAAAGCAAAAACATAAAAACATATGCCATGTTGATACAATTTTACAACTGAACACAAGGATTATTGTTGCCAAGAGAAGTTTAAATTGGTTTCAGCCATTTTTTAAAAGCTAAACACACCATAAGATCCAGAGGGATAGACCTCAATAGATCAAATTTGAGATTCTTAATGATATATCAAACTCATGATCTCAAACCTGTTGTACCTTGTTTGTCATCACTGTCTACTGAAAACACTTCCTCACATTCCAAGTGAAGTGGAACACTTTCATCTTGAGTCTCTTGACCCGCTGTTATATATTCTTCTGACATAGATTTATTTTCACTTTGCTGACTGTCACAGGACAGTTCTGGTGGTTCATTGCTGCAAGATACAAGTAATGAAAAATTTATTTTTAATAATATAATGTAAAAAAAAAAGGATTACAATGTAAAAAAAACCTATTTAACTCAAAAAAAATTATTACAATGTAAAACTATTATTGTAACAATGTAAACAAAAAATAAAACTTTTTACAATGTAAAACTATTACAAAGTAAAACTATTGCAACTAAAATTATTACAATGTAAAACTTATAATTACAATGTAAAACTATTACAAAGTAAAACTATTGCATGTAAAACTATTACAATGTAAAACTATACAAAGTAAAACTATTACAATGTAAAAAATAACTATTGAAATGTAAAAAAACTAAAACAATGTAATAAAAACAACTAATGAAACAAAACCTTATGAACTTCGCTCATCAAATCATTTGAAATTATATAAATGAGTGAAAAGTTGTACATCATTGATCATTAACAAAAGGAGAATGCATCTACCTCAATGAGACAACTATCCAATGACATAAAAAATATGCATCAAAAACAAAAATGGCCAGGTTGCAAATAATATTTTTTAAACAATGGATAATTTTTTGATAAAAAGTTGTGTACATCCTTGTCCTTATGTGATATATTGTTGCCTCATAGGCAATTATACCACATCTCCACATTTTCATATTTAAATAATTTAATTTTGGATGTAACGCGTCTTCTGATTGGCTGACGTTGTTTTGTTTATCAGCTCATAGACATAATTTTGTCATGTGACTGTGACGTCATCAACGTTTTTTCATGATTTGCTCCGGTTTAAAATGGAATTTAGAATTAAATTATAAGAAATGACTGTAATATTTTTTCTGTCTATTCGAAATAACATAAAAAATGTGGTGCACACTTAAAATAACCCGCTACGCGGGTTATTCAGTGTGCACCACATTTTTGATGTTATTTCTTCATAGACAGAAAAAATATTACAGTCATTCCTTAAATAATAAACGGAAATTTAAAAATTATATAATAAACTGTTAACACAGATATATGTCTCGCCTATTTGTTATTTTGAAAATGCAAATGTTGAAATTAAAATAGCAATACATTTTTTTTTTAAACAACATAATAATTTTATTAATCAAATATTGCTTGTTACATAAATCATCAAGATTCCAAGCTTCTCTTGACGTACCCTGTTATGATCCACTGACTACCCAGGGAATAGTCAGCTGATTAGATTAATTGACATACATTTTCTTTACAAAACATTATAATAACAATACTAGAAATATTATTCATTGATTATGTTCCTTTTAATTGTTAGTAACATTGGACTTATTGTCTTATGTCCATTAATATTGGTGTCTACTCTCTTAGTGTATTCATTGACAAAAATTCTGTAGACGTCTATGTTTTTTTGTTTTCTGCTCAGATACATAGTATGACTTATATATTGAAAAACTAAGTATTGTAATTAAAAAATTTATTGAGTAATATTTGTTGTCTGTGATTTTGTATCCAAATATCAGGTGTTCTAGTTTTATTAAAAAAATCTATATCACTCCTTTTTAAGAGGTCGTAAATTTGCTGCCAAAATCTTGTCAAATAAGAACAATTGAAAAAACAGTGATCATAGTCTTCTTATATGTTACAAAAATTACACATATTATTATTAGTTATTTTCCATTGTAATAAAAGCTTTTTTGTTGGTACAATAAACTATAGTAATTTCCATCTGAATATTTTTAATTTATTTTCAGTTAAATATTTAAAAATAAAGTTATATAGTGAATTCATATTTGGAGCTTCTTGCATTGGTAGAATTTTAAGCCACCTGTTTATCCCTACTGACGGTTCTTTTTTACTATTCACTAGCAAATCATATAACATTTTATTTTAAAAACATGTAGTCTCAAAATAACGATATTTCCATGTGATCTTATTTCTCTTGACATTTACTGTACTTTGAACAGAATTTTCTTGTTTAACTATGTGAATCCAATTTTGTGGAAAAGCTTGTTTCAATATATGAAATTCTGCAATCCAGTTTACCTTACACTTTATTGTTTAAAATATATTTTTCTGATAATGACATAGTGTCATCTAGAATGTCATTTAAGTATATTATACCACTCTTAATCCAGTTTTCAAAGATAATTGGTTTATTATGAAATGTAAAATAGCAATACTTTAACATGTAAGTTATGCAAATATTCAAAGTCAATGAACCATGACTGAAGGTACAGGGCGAAACAATCTCCATGGAAATGAGATGTGCCAATGCTAATACAACTGCAAACCAAATACCATTGACTTTTCATAAGTCGTTCCCTTTAAACAAACCTAAACACAAACATTAACTTGTAAACTATGTAAAAGTTTCAAAGTCAATGAACCATAATTAGGGGGTGGGGTTATATAATCTCCATGGAAATGAAACTTGCAAATGCCAATACATTTGCATACCGAATATCATTCACTTAGCATTAGTGGTTCATCTTGAACTGACCTAATCACAAACCAATACATGTAAACTAAGCAAAAGTTTCAAAGTCAATAGACCATGACTGAGGGGTAAGGATCAAATAATCTCTATGGAAATGAGATGTGCTAATGCTTATACAACTGCATACCAATTATCATTGACCTACCACTAACAGTTACCCTTAAACTGACCTAATCACAAACTAATACATGAAAACTAAGCAAAAGTTTCAAAGTCAATAGGCCATGAATGAGGGGGAAGGGCCAATTAATCTCCATGGAAATGAGATATGCCAATACTTATACAACTGCATACCAAATATCATTGACCTACCACTAGTGGTTCCTCATAAACTGACCTAATCACAAACTAATACATGTAAACTAAGCAAAGTTTCAAAGTCAATAGACCTTGACTGAGGGAGCAGGGATAAATAATCTCCATGGTACTGAGATGTGGTGCCAATGTTAATACAATTGCATACCAAATATCATTGACCTACCACTAGTTGTTCCCCATAAACTGTCCTAATCACAAACTGATACATGTAAACTAAGCAAAGTTTAAAAGTCAATAGACCTTGACTGAGGGGGCGGGGCCAAATAATCTCCATGGTAATGAGATGTGCCAATGCTAATACAACTGCATACCAAATATCATTGACCTACCACTAGTGGTTCACCATGAACTAGACCTCATCACAAAAAATACATTGTTGATGCTGCCGACGCCGGAAACAGCATACCTATGTCTCGCTTTTTGACTCCGTCAAGGCGAGACAAAAATGAAACACTATATGTTGATATAAAAAAACACTACTGTAAATTCAGAAATTATTGCAATGTTTATATCAATGCAAAAAATGCAACAATTTCTGGTTCGCAATAATAAAAACTAGCATTCATAATTTCAGTAATGATGTTCCATCATTAAATTTTGGCAATCACATTAATTGGATATCATATCTTATCCAGAGGTCAAGGATTTGCAATAATAAATGCACACATTAATTTCTAAATTTACAGTATATATTCAAAATTAAGTAACAAAACATTGCATAGTTACATTTTGAACCACCCTGTCTGGTAGGCTGGATGGTTATGTGGTGTGCCAACTTTGACCAAATGACCCTCATGTGTGTTAACTGTTGCTTTACAGGATGCAATTGTACAACGCCAGTAAATTCTGTTGTTTCGTTTGGTCTTAGCACTGTAACGGTAACCTCCAAGGACCAAACTTGCTCTGCCAAACTTATTCTTTACATACTTAAGTTGTTGTGTTTTTCCCTTACTTGGTTTTGAATCATTCCAGGACATTAAGTCAACCAACCTAAAATACAAACATTGAGTGCTTAGTATGTATCATTTGTTTATAAATAGAATACAGTAAACCAACTAATTTTCCCAAGCAATTTATTTTCATGAAAAGATAAAAAATAGTGAATATAAATCGTTAGAAAAAATGTGACACTTGGGCCTCCCCCAATATAAATTCATCAAGAAAATAAAAAAAACTTGAAAAAATAAATTGCGGCAAAGTCTGTTGAAAAGGGCTAAACGTGAAATAAATTATCCACGAAAATAATTTATTTTTGTGAGCAATTAATTGTTACTTCTTTCTCAGGTAGAAAAAAAACCGCAAATATAAATTGTAACCAATATGTAAAACTTAGGTCTTCTTTTTTATAAAGAATTCAAGAAAATTACAAAATAGGGAACATAAATCACCGTGAAGATGGCTCGAAAGAAAGTATCCACAAAATCAAGTTGGTTTACAGTATACAAACAGTCTACAACATCAATGTTTTCACATCATTTCTCAAGAAATAAATAGTCTTTGCCTTTTAATTTGTTACTGAAGTTACAAATATTGATTTACAAATCAAACCATAAAATACATATGACCAGTGAGACTGTTGAACACCAAATATGACTGTTAAAAAAGCTTTACGATGAGTTCTTTGTATATTTGAAAAAAGTGTGGGAAATCACTGATGTTTTATACAGTGCTTAGATTTTTATAATTTATTTTTTGGCAATAACTTGAAAAATCCTTCATGAACTCATTGCTTAATGAATAACAAATTAGGATTAATGATGTCTTCCTTAAAGGGTACTGCTACTGCGCCAGATTATGATGATACGAATTTTTCTTTTCATTTTAACTTTTAAGGTGTTAATCAAATAGTGTTGAGTGTCTGATATGTGAATTTTAAGACTAGCTGTATATATATCTTTTGATAAACAAGTCTAAATTGAAAACAACATTCAAACCTATGATTGCATTGGATAAAAACCGCATTTTTTATACGTGTGAATGTAAAACAAATTTCTTGGTAGAGGGGTCTAAATACAGCACAAACAACTGGAAATTACATTTTATGTAACAGTTAACATTTCTTATCCTCAATTTAAAAGAAGATGTTCTGTTTCATGGACTTAATTGTGATGAACTTTGCAAATTATAATAAAAACTCAAAGTAGGTCGTAAAGATGGTTGTACATGATAGCAGTTGATATTTTGGAATTAATAAGGAAATTGAACAACTAGAATATGGAATAAATTTTACCTGGATCTTGGTCAGATAACTTGACTGTAACTCTTATTCCTGGTTGTAAATGTTTATCTATCTGTACTTCTTTCTGTAAACATATAAACACAGTTTGTATGATCAACATTACTTGTCTGTTGTGTGATTCATACAATTCTAGGCTTTTTTGGTGAAGCTCAACATTAGTGTTATCTTGGAACCAAATTATTTAAACCTAATCTTGCTGTAGTTGTTGCAACTTAATACAACAAATATGGCAATTTTGACAATTATGTAATTTAATATTGATAACACCGAAAACTTAAAACTTGAAAATGATAGTTGAGACTTTTGGATTCATATTATCATCAGTTTCATTTATAATATAAGGAAAGTTTCAGAATTTGTGCATTGTATCCAAGCATTTTTTATGACATGTAGATTTACAAAAAAGTGAAATAAACATATGAAATTCTCAAATACAGTTGACTGGAGTTATCTTGAAACCGCAAGAGTTATAATATTTCAACTCAACTGAAGTTCGACTCGAGAGGAGCTTATGTAAAAACAATCAAGGGGAGACAACTCAAATTTGCACTAGATAAAACGAGAATTGTGTATCTGATTGATCTAGTCATGTTCTGTACTGATGAACATCAATTAGATATATGTTTTTCATTTGAGGCAGTGTTTTAGTTTTCTGAAGTTTTTAAATACTGTATTGTTCTAATTATGCAGCTGCTGCTTTGAAACAAAAAGTACAATATATCATGTTTGTGAAACAAAAAGTACAATATATCATGTTTGTTTGAATATTACTAGTTTCAATTAAACAACAAATATGGCAATTTTGGCAATTATGTAATTTAATATTGATAACACTGAAAACTTAAAACTTGAAAATGATAGTTGAGACTTCTGAATTCATATTATCCTCAGTTTCATAGATAATATAAGGAAGGTTTCAGAATTTGTATCCAAGCATTTTTTATGACATGTAGTTTCATTCTGACCCATTCTTTACATACTGTTTAAATATATAATATATGTAATAGATTTACCTTTAGAAGACCAACATTAGCAAAAGATCCCTTGCCAGTCTTCACAGGTTTATCTAACACTACACCCTCTCCGAACTGGCAATTGTCATCTGCTCTCATGTGGTGGGGACTATCAAGTGGATTCAAAATGCCTGAAAAAAAAAATAAAATTGGTCTTGACCAACTGAACATTGATTCCTATGGTTCTGATAGCATAAACAAGGAGATTTTTAAATCTACAACAAATCTAAATTAAATAATACTTTGTAAGTACATATGTATATAAAATTGGTTGATGCTGCTTCTTTGCCAACTTGCAGCATTGAGAAGTAAGAGCAAAGAATGGTGTTAGCATCTGAATTAGCATGTAATACCCTAGTATTTGCTGCTGGAAGTTAAGCAGCCATCAATTCACACCTTGACCTACATTTCTTAGGGTAAATGACTCTTTTAAAAAGTAATTATCTGTTGTCATGTGCACTTATATTCATAATGATTTCACCATGCTACATCTTGTACATGTGGAAATACATAAAAATAAATGGAGAATGTGTCCCCATGGACACAGATGATGCCCCCGCTTGCATACAACATTATAAAGGGACATAACTCAAGAACAATTAAAGTGACACTACCCAAATTTGTACTTGATCTTAGTTTTGTGGTAATAAGTATTGTGTATAGGTTTCATGTTTGGTTGGGGCAAACTTAAGTTACAGAATGGAAACTAAAAATTTTGCAATTTTTCGATTTATAAAGGAGCATAACTCAATAATTGTTAAAGTAACACTACCCAAATTCAACTTGATCTGTGTTTTATCAGTGGAAGGCAAAATTAAACATTGCATTGTATAAAGCATTGATTGTAGTTGATTCAACTATAATCATGGACAAAGGAAGATAACTCCAATTTTAAAAATTACTTGAACAATGACATCATTGATATTTTTAGAAAAAAAATGAAAAATTTAGCAATTTTTCCATTTGTAAAGGGGTATGCTAGAACTCTAGAACAGTAAAAGTGACGCCACCAAAATTCAAACTTGATCTGTGGATTGTGGTAATAAGCATTGTGTATAAGTATCATAATATTTGGTTGAGGCAAACTTAAGTTAGAGAACAGAATGAAAAATTTTGCAATTTTACTATTTATAAAGGGGCATAACTCCACAACGTTAAAGTGACGCTACCAAAATTCAAACTTGATCTGTGTTTTGTGGTAATAAGCATTGTGTAAAGTTTGATAACATTTGGTTGAGGCAAACTTAAGTTAGAGAACGGAAACCAATTTTGGGACGTACAGACGTACGGACGTACAGACGGACAAGGGTTAAACTTTATGCCCCCTCCGCTATGGCAGGGGTATAAAAAGTTTGTACGGGTTATGACCTGAGATTTTCTTCTTCAATGCAGGTCATGACCTGCATTTTCATTTTCATAGGTTGACAGGTATGCCAATAAGTAAGAATAAAATTTATAACAAGAATTAAAATCAAGGGGCTTCTAAGAGACTAAATCACTCATCTGTCAAAATATATCTTGCATTGCAGATTTTTTTTACTGTTTAAAGTTTCTTCCCGTCTAATATTGTTTTTGAGATAATAGGTAAAAACTAGAAAAATTAATAAAAATATCTTGTGATATATCCAATTTTTACTGATAAATATCAAAATCAAATGAATAATTACAAATTTCTTTTCATAGCATTGCGTAGCGATGTATAAACAACAAAACATTAACAGTCATTTGTTCTGATTTGGTGTTTCATACAACTGCATGTGTTTTGTTTTAGCTAAAGGTTCTTCACATATAAATGTGATGAAAAAATTGAATGTATCTTACTAAAACTGCACTGTTTTACTTTCAAAGTCGTATTTCTTGTAATTAGATATAAGAAGATGTGGTATAAGTGCCAATGAGACAACTCTCCATCCAAGTCACAATTTGTAAAAGTAAACCATTATAGGTCAAAGTACGGTCTTCAACACAGAGCCTTGGCTCACACCGAACAGCAAGCTATAAAGGGCCCCAAAAATGACTAGTGTAAAACCATTCAAACGGAAAAACCAACGGTCTAATCTATATAAAAAACGAGAAACAAGAAACACTTATGAACCACATCAACAAACGACAACTACTGAACATCAGATTCCTGACTTAGGACAGGCGCAAACAAATGCAGCTGGTTTAAATGTTTTCATAGGTACCAACCTTCACCCTTATCTGAAACAATAGTTTAACATCACAACATAGAAAGACACACTATAAAATATCAATTGAAATGGCTTAACTGAATCAAAAGACATATTAACACAATTGAACATACACTGAATGAATAAATTTGATCTATGATACAATGTAAATACAAAATCAATAAAAAAAGGGGTGAATAAATAAAGGCAACAGTAGTATACCGCTGTGAGATGTTAAACAATTTAAAAAAAAAACAACAACAACCTTGAACAAAAAGCCGCCAAATACAATTATATACAAAGGGAAATGAAAATAATTTTGTTGTAAGGTATACAGTTTAAATGCAGAACGGAAATATTTTTTACAAAATAAATTATTTTGTTGTTCAAAGTACGAAGGAGTGAAAATTTATAGTCATACCAAACACTTATCAAAGCTGGTATATAGACGAGATATAACCCTGAATAAGTAAAAATTAAATAACAAAAAAGCATTACAAATAGTATCAACAGGTCAAATTAATAT